CAGCACATCAAAATAAATAATAATAAATAGCACATTTTATCTCTGAAGCAGACGACGTCTCAAAAATTGTAGACCAGTGATATCTAACCTAAATTAAAATGTTTTACATTTAAAACTAACTGCTTTATTAAACAAAGGATGTAGTAACCGTAATTAGTGAATTGAACTGGTTGTTTCTGGTCATCCTGTCCATCAAGATTTTAGAACTAGTAGGTGTCATCCCTCCCACCTGTTATTTATTCAGAGATAGCAAGAGGAAAACAAGCTTGCAGACTTTTTTTCAACTCCCAGTCAATTTCTCAACTTTGAATGAACTAGTCAAGAACTGGAGAAACTGAAGAAACTGGAGAAAATACTCTCTCTGCATATGCAGAAGTGGCTAGTGCTGTCAAAAGCTGGTTTAGCACTTCAACAAACTCTGGTCCCTGGTGATTGGCCAGAGACTTCCAACCACTTTGGGGGTCTGACTCTCTTTAAAACTTTGGCAAGAAATAAGTACAGCTTGAATATATTTCTATTTAATTTAAATGATTTTAAGAGATTATAGTAATTTTAGGCCTTAACATAGGTTATCATAGTTTCAAATAGGTTTATGTTTCAAAAGTGAGCTTTATTTAATTTAAATTAAAAAATCCAATTTTTTTAAAAATCATCTACTTTTATCCATCCTGGAAACAGAGCTTCTATTTCTGATAGATAGGCAGCTTCTCCATCAGATAGACTTCCTAAGGCTTGGGAGAGCTGAGCCTCAGTACCTTATTAGGTACATAAAATAAGGGCTCACTATAGCAGGCACAAGTGAGGAGGCAAAAAGACAGTAAGGGTGAAGAACTGGTAAGGGCGGAAGCCAGAGAACCAGGATGCCAAATATGACATGGAGGCAGAATTTGCAAGGGCTTGGCATTTTCACGTTAAAGGGATTTATACCTTGCTTTGCGTAGAAAACTGAAGGCAATCTTAATTTGAAGCCGATGGGCACCTTCATAATTAAACAAACATAATTGTGAAAATTTATCAGCCCAGGCACAAAATCGATTCACCTGCCATTACCATGGCAACAATAAAGCCAAATAATAATGTAGTCATCCATCGAAAAAAGAAAAAAGTTGTTTGCCCCAAGCAAGCAAAATTTTGCAAGGCTGGATTAAATAGGTTAGACAGATGTCACATATAAGAAAATACAAATGAGATGTGTTTGTAATAAAAAGGGATTAAGTAAACTAGTTTGCAGAATTTCAAACTGTTCACCCTGTTGGCACTCAATGATATTATGCATTGAACAAAAAGGAAGTTATATTTTTTCTTAATTACAAGTGCCTTCATATTCTCACATTATGGCATTGGCTGATTGGAACCTCCCAATTGGCACTCTCTGTGACAGTCATCATTTTAGCTAACGAACTACCATACACCCTTCTCCCATTTAAACAGTTCCCATCCTTTCCAATTCTCCTTGTAGTCAAGTCCCCTGAAGCTTCTAATCATTTTTAATTGCCCTTTTTCTGGACCTTTTCTAAATCTCTTAGGCCATTTTGAGACAAGGTGACCGAAAATTAATGCAGTGGGGGTTAAAGAGACAACATAAAGCATCACAAAAATAGTTCACTCCAAAGGCATAAGTTGTGGGGGAGGGTCTTTTTGGACCCAGTGACCTAAGCAGAACAAACATCTGCAATGACAAAGGGCTGCTCGGGCAGTTTGTCAGTTCATGTTCTCAGCATCCACTCACCAAGAAATACATAAACATGTCGACAGAAACTGACACATGCCCTGAGGCAACTCCTATTGTCTGGGCAATAAAAGAGAATGAGTCCATAGGAAGTGACTGCTGCTGACACTTGCAAGAGGTGACCAATGATAATGCATGCACTTCACCAGTGATAACGTCCTTTGCTTAGTTTAGGGGAATTTGGAGTTTGATGTTTTGGTTTTGCTGTTCAAGCCTCAGCAACAAGAGTTGGTAAAGACAAGTAAGGAAATTTCTTAAGAAGGAAAAAGCAGCATGGGTTTGGTAATGAGATTGTCAATATGCCGGCTCAGTGAGTCGGATCTTCAATCGATGTAAAACCTCACAGCTCAGTTGAAGACACTGGAGCGATGACAATTTACACAGCCAGAGGATCTGGCCCAATATCTTTGTCCGTCAGTAGTAATGTTACCAGACTTCTCAAACTAAAACTAATACAATGCTGACTCTTTCACTATACCTTGTCCTTCATAGCCAAGTCAGAGATTTCTGTAGATACTATTTACAATATAATGAGCTGCTCACCAATGAGATAAAATCAGAACCTTTTCTCCACAAAATAATTGTTCAAGAGCATACACAAACTGCTAGAAATATTAAAGAACCCAGGTACTGTTCTGAACATCAGTGGTAGTGATAAAGGTTGGAAGACAGACTAGATACAGAAAAGCCAAGATCAGTTCCAACTGCATAGGGATTCCACAGTAGTTATACACAACTACATTGCAGTCTACAGTTTTGATCATTTCTACAATGGCTTAACCAGCTAACTACTGGAAACCTCCTACTGCCCTCTAGTGGTTAATGGTGCCCTCAAATGGCTCATCTCCCCCACAGGTGAGTGAAGGGGTAGGGTGAGACGGAGGTATATCATGGTCAATTACAGAGAACATGCATTCTGCCCCCTTCCCCCGCAACAAATTGTTATCTGTATGTAGCAGTATATAAATGGCTTTTAAAAATTGTGCATTCTACAAACACATTATGAATTAATATTTCAGAACAGTAAAAGGCAGTCACATATGGAAGTTAAAGAGTTTAGTAGGCTAGGCTAATGATAGGCAGAAAAATAAAATATTCAATAGTGAGATTGAAGTACCACACCCGTTCATAATCTAAACTGGGACACTGTCAAATTAGGAAATTCTAGGGCTGTGCTCCAGAAGTGTAACTTTTTCTCATGGAATGACAGGACTTAAATCATTTTTATGAGGGGTTCCTAAAGGAATTACTCTAGAATTTCCAAACACAGACTTCTTGGCCTCCAGCCCAAGCGGAAGGGGACATGACACTTTTCAAAAAGGAAAGAATACCAGCCAGTCTTTCAACAGTCAGCACCCAGTCTTGGAAAAACAGACAATACAAGTTATGTGGACATCTAATGTGGTTAGTGCAAGCTGCCCATAAGAAGCTTCATTATAGATTCAGATCCTTTGGGCTTTTCATCTTTTTTAGTCGTCTTTATTAGTCATTTTATTTGCCAGTAGTAATCATTTTTATGGATATCCTCTAAGTACAGTAGCTGAAGACAGACAATGAGCTCAGTGATATGAAAGAGACCGAGAGGCATTCATATCCGATTCTAGCTTTAAGAAGAACTCAAAAATATTTCACCTGCCAAGTCCTGAGGTCAAGAACTACCATCATTGAAAACCTTAACAACATTTAAACAGTGTTGAGAGGCATACTCTACCCATTTTTAACTTTTTACAAATTTGGCTCTTGTAGAGGAAAAAAGAACCTTTGGCTTTTAAGACAGGAGTCATCACTGACTCAATTAAAAATGTAGCTAAATTTGTCTAGGTTGGCTGGGTTTCCCAACTCTCTACATGTGATTTCTGTTAATTGGGGACCTTACATTTTATTTCATTTGTTTTTCTAAAGATTTTAAATTCACCTTTTAAAAGCAGGAGATGCCTTATGGAAAACTTGGCATATCATTCTGTTTATTAACAATTCTCCCTCTGCCCTTATCGGAGGGTGATTCCTCCATCATTTTTTATATCCTTTGAAGGTCTGCATGGAAACAAAACCCATGTATCTTAGGAGCTCATCAGCTCCTGCTGATCATTCATTCATATCAATATTTATAAAACCATGTGCCCAGACCTCTGGGTACATTAACATATTTTTTAAATTATAAATTAAATAAATTTTAAATTAATGGAGCTATCCCATCTCCTAGAACTGGAAGGGACCTTGAAAGGTCAGAGTCCAGCCCCCTGCCTTCACTAGCAGGACCAAGTACTGATTTTTGCCCCAGATCCCTAAGTGGCCCCCTCAAGGATTGAACTCACAACCCTGGGTTTAGCAGGCCAATGCTCAAACCACTGAGCTATCCCTCCCCCCTGATTATTATTATTACCTGATCCTGCAAAGAGCTAAATGGGACTTAATTTTCCAAGTCACTGGGGCACATGTTTAAAATTTTGAGATTACTGCTGTAGCCAAAAGGCTGCTGGTGCTCCTGGGGTGATGGCCTCAGCCCACAGCTTACTTTTGCAACAAATGCCAGTACTCCCTACCTCAGCATTTGAAATGTGCCTACCTAGGCTGGTTTTCCTGGGAAAGGCTCTCTCCTTTCTGGTAGCCACTGTCTGCCACCTGCGTTGTGGACCTCTTGACAATCTGCTTGAGCTCCTGTTCCAGACGATCCTTGATAGCCTTCACGGTCTCAGGGATTTTTTTCAGTTTGGCCAGCCCTTTGATGAGGATCCCCATGAAGACAGTACTGTTCTCCTCCGGATCCAGCTCCATATCTTCTTTAATCTCCAGCACACTCACTTCTCGCACTGAAACCACAAACAATCGTTTAAACCATGCAAAGTAAGATGAACTCCAAGCAAATACAATGTTCCAATTGGCTTGTCGCAACAGAACTCTGCCTATCATGGACCACTGCAGGAATAAACGCTGGAACACAAAACAACTCAATTTCTTCACTATACACAAAACATAGCAACCTGCAAAGTAGACTGATTCAAAGTCAGAGGTCATATACAAGGAGGCATAAATTACCTGCAAGCTCTGGGGTATATTAAAGTCTAGTGTGATTAAGACATTCATAAAATATCCGTTTTATTAATAATAATGGGGGGAGGGATAGCTCAGTGGTTTGAGCATTGGCCTGCTAAACCCAGGGTTGTGAGTTCAATCCTTGAGGGGGCCACTTGGGGTTCTGGGGCAAAATCAGTACTTGGTCCTGCTAGTGAAGGCAGGGGGCTGGACTCGATGACCTTTCAAGGTCCCTTCCAGTTCTAGGAGATGGGATATCTCCATTAAAAAAAATAATAATAATAATCATTTTAAGACTACACGTATCAATGGAATTATAGGCTTGAACCCCCAACCTAGCTATCTTCCATTTTCACAAAAGAGAAGTTTTTTACTATGAGAACCAATTAGTTTACCAAGAACAAACTCCTGGTGAATTTGTAGAAAAGGACCTTTTCTTTTCCTCTTTGCATTCTAGTTTACACTAAAGTATGGAATGATGGTTTGATGTTATACCATTCTATTTTATTACTGCTGTCAAGAGACTGAAGATATTAATCACACTCTTTAAAAAGAACCTTTTAGTAAGTTGTCTAAAAGAGAAAAAGGATTAGGTTTGAAAAACTAGATGGAGAATTAAGGCTACTCTGGATACAGTCCCCTTGAAATAGCACGGAGTATCTTGACAGGAAGTTCTGTTGCTAGGAGACAGTAACTACAAAATCTCAGGGTAATGTGTTTTTGTTTTAAGTATGCTCATTAATCAACATTTCTTAATTTACAGATAATGAACAGTAACAAAAGGGTGTCTATGCTAAAGACTGGGTGAAACACTTAACTGAGATGCTGAAAAGCCAATGTGAAGTGAAAGTCTTCAAGGAAAGTCCAACCAAAATGTGTTGTAAAGAACTGTATGGCCACATGGATTGTTAACAGCTTGATTAAAAGTACATAGACACACAGCTCAGAAGTATACAGATAAAGAGATTCAAACCTCATAATGGTTACTGATACAGAGATTAGAGACAAACAGCTGTTTCATCCTGATGGTGTTGAACCAAGCTCAGACCGTTGGAGAACAAATGACTCCAGTAACTTATACTGCTCTATAATGGACTGATTTAAAAATATGCTTCTAAAATCATCCAAGAATGTAAAGAAAGTGTATATAAACCACCAGAAAACTTCAAAATGGATTTCACAAATAAGAGAAACAGCATGTCACAAGGAACACAAAGCTCTAAAGCTAGCTATGGAGGTGACACCACCTGAAACAAAAGGTCCATCAACAGGTTAGCTTAAATGTCAGAATACAGATGTCAAAACAAGAGTTCTCAGAAAAGAATGTTCCAAACAGGTGCCTCCTCATTGACATCTCAACTCTGGCCTTTCCCATGCTTCCACCGCCTCAATCACTATAGCAATAGGAAAAGCAAAATTTCGGACATCTTTTTCCTGAAGTTAAGAATTTAAGAAGTGAAAAAAGTTCCTTACTGCTTTACAACCTGAGTAACAAAGATTGAAAAGCCAATGTGAAAGTAAAAGGCAACACAACTATAAATATTTTCTACAGTGTTCATCGTCATGTCATATAAAGTCCTAGGCAAAGCCACTCGTTACATTTACACTTTGTTTAACCACCACCCAGATACAAGCTCCATAATTCATCAACTGTTAGAGGGGATTTTATGTTATCTCCTCCACGGGAGGGGAATGTATTAATCTAGTCCCATTAACAAAGTCTCTGACCAGTGCTCCCATACTCCTATTGCTGGGGACCATGACATGACTTCTGGCCACCAAAATAGGGCAAGACCAAATAATCTTGCTTGAAATCTGTTCAAATCTACTTCAGACAAGTCATTTATAAAGGCACACTTGGAACAGATGCAAGTTACAAACTTCAAGCACCTTCTGGAGACAGCTCATCACCAGGCCCACAAAAGTTCAAAATTGCCCTGCACACCTTCATCTCCTCCCAGAAATGTAACTGTTACATTTTCCTATGCTCTTTATTGTCATGTTGCTATTTATGTTGCATCATTTTTAATAGGTTAGTTAAAACTTATTTCAGTGCCAGCTGACTTGCACACATATTACCCTGATGGTATCCTTTCAATTATAGATCTGACTGACCTGCTCAGCAGAGATTACACTATTCAACTGACATAACCTCAGACTCTGTCCCCTCAGCTCAGCCCAGCCCCATTGTGCTACAGGAGTTTGCTCACCTATTCATTTCCACTCTGAGCATTGCACACACACCAAGAGTAGACCCTATTAGATGACAGAATGTCAAGAGAGAAGAATAACTTGAGTTTTTATGTCAATCAAAACCAACCAGTGCCAATTTAAATTCTCTTTTAAAGAAACCTCCCACAGCTGAAGTGTGTTATTTGTGCAAGTTATGGGGGAAACTTTAGCAAAGCACCATGGGCATTTTTAGCAAACAGAAACACAGGAGATCTTTACAATGCACTTAAATCACAAAGCTATTAGGATATTACAATTGGTGCACACATTTCAGTTCAGAGCTCACATTTTCATTGCACCTTTCATCCCAAGAGCCAAGCATTTTGTGTACCACACACTGTACATATGGTTCACCTATTTCATTAATTGTACTCATTATTTGTTAAGCACCAGAGGTGTACAAGACACAGACATGAGACTATATGCTCCTTGGGTCACAAGCTATGTAAAAAGACAGGACACACAAAGAATTGCAGAAAGAGGCAAGGTTTTAAATAATAAGTTAAAAATAAAATTGAAAGGAGTTTTTTTTTGTTATGATTAAGTCAACTTGTGGACATCACAGCAGAAATTAGTTCTCAGGAGAGAATTATCCATTAATGTAATACAGCCACCACAGGGATGGGGAATTGAAATAGTCTTTTTCACATTCGCATCACGTTGGCAGCTCATAGTCATCCTGTGATCAACCAATACCCCTCAGCTCTTTCTCCTCCCTCTGTCTCTTTCAACTGATAAGCCCCCAGCTTACAACAAAAATTCTTGTTGTTAGTCCCTAAGTGCATGACCTTGGACTTTGCACTATTAAATTTCATCCTATTTCTATTACTCCAGTTTTCAAGGTCATCCAAATCTTCTTGTATGATATTCTGGTCCTCCTCCATATTGGCACTATCTTCTAACATTGTATCATCTGCAAACTTTATTAGTACACTCCCACTTTTTGTGCCAAGGTCATTAATGAAAACGTTAAGTAACATTGGTCCCAAGACCCATCCCTCAGGAACTCCACTGCCTCCCTCCAGGCATTCAATATGACCTGTTACAGTCTCCTCTTCAACCAGTTCCTTATCGATCTTTCAAATCTCATATTAATCCCCATCTTCTCCAATTTAATTAATAATTTTTCATGTGGAGCTGTATCAAATGTCTTACTGAACCCAGGTAGATTAGATCTACTGCATTTCCTTTGTCTGAAAAATCAGTTATCTTCTCAAAGAAAGATCAGGTTGGTCTTGTGGGACCTGACTAGATCACAGCCCAAGCTACAACTGAAGATGTTACTTTTCTCTCTATTATGACTACTCCTTTTTCTCCCTTATCATACCCTCTTCTGTCATTCAACATCAGCAACGGGTCATTTGAACACAAAGCTTTGGCACAGAAATCAGACACCCATCGAAGTGTCAAATTTGGCAACAGACACTTATGAAAATGTAGGCCTAAGGCTCCAATCCTGCAAGCTACTCTGCCCAGGCAGAAGGGCTCCATGCGGGTGCAGATATCCCAGTTCAGATTGTCTTGCAGGATGGAGTGTCTTGACCAGTATTTGTTCTTGCCCAAGGGATGCACACTAACAATGCCACTCATTTATATCAAGTCAGAACCTCAAACAGTTAGAATACATTTTATACCTACCTAGATCTGTAGGTTTATATCTAGAATATATCCGTGAGGAATTTTTGAAGACAAGTAAGATCATTTTCCTTATTTCATTAGCACTTGGAGTAAGTAGAGAAGATATGGAAAAAACATACAAAATAATAAAAGCACTGTAAAACATTCAAGTGATTATTTACTTGCTAAGTCATTTTTGTGTCGGCTAGTTAGATTTCAATCTCCTTTTGTGGGTCCGCAAAGGAAATAGAAAAAAAATCCAGTTTTATTAGTCATTTTTGTTGTATTCCCAAAATAAAATGACTGTGAAGAGGCACAAATGAAACCCACACTGCTCATTAAGAGAAGTTAGTGAGTTGAACATTTTTCAGAAACTGTTTGCCAAGAGAAAAGGACATATTGTGTGGACCAATGTTTTAAACAAACCAATTTCTATTAGAATTAGCATCCTTCCCTCCCCATTTCAGCAGTTGAGCAGCCCAATAGATTTACAGTTTATTTAATTAGGCCTTTCTATACTGGCCTCACAGTTACATCTGAACTGTTTAAACATAACTGCAGCTAAGGCAGTTAATAACTTAGTGCCTGATCCTGCAAATACTTACTCAGATGAGTAGCCCCCATACAAGCCAAAGCAACTATTAGCATGTGCAAGGACTCCTCGGGTAAGTAAGGATTTGCTGGATGAACCTGACTTATCCCTCATGGGGTTTCAGCTAAACTAGTTTCTTTGGCCACCCATTTTCTAACATGGTTTGGCAATCTCTTGAATTGCCGAGGCTAGAAATATTTTCCCTATGGTCTGGCTCCATCCAGACTGGCCAACCAAACTTTCTTAGAAACCAGTTTAACTGGAGCTATGTTTAAAATAGGTTATCAACACAGTCAGAGAGCCTCACCATGGACGGAACCTTGTTGCAGAAACTCA